GTATATAATTGGGGCTTGGTACCGAAATTACAAAACCATGGTTAAGTTCGGGTTATATGCCCAAGTCTTGAACCAGAAAGAAAGATATATTTGGAAAGAGTTTTTGAAGGTCGCCTAAAAGTAATCTCAACTTACCACCATGCACTCACTATATATTACTGTATATATAAAAACCTAAAATCTTGATTACTATCTTAGTATCTTACACAGAAAGAAAATTGGATTTTGACTGTTTTGGTTATCCATTCGATCGTAACAAAATAAGAATCACAGTTATCCATAACAATGTTCATCACACCGAAAACCCCGATGAGTATCATGGCCAATATAAAAAGGGTCCATGATCTCTTCATCCATCAGAAACTAGAATAGAATAGGTTTGACAAAAAATAATTAACAAGTGAACCACAATACGTTTTGTTTATATAGTCATTATCTATTTTGTAAAGGCACCAAAACGAAAAGACAAAACAACGCAGCACAAGACGTTTCTTAAACTTATGAAACAAACCTATACTTAAAATAACAAAAACACAGGAAAATATATGCATAATTAACCACCGTGGTAGTATCGGTCCTGATGGCTGTGTAGGAAGAAGATGACCATGATTGCAATTTGCAACCTCCAGCTTCAGCTCCACACTGGTAGCAAAACTTACGTCCACATCTACCGTGAAAAATGCATGCATGCAATAATTCTTTAATCAGCTTGAAAAACATAACCAAACTTGAAAAGGAAAATGTACCTATATATAGAGATGTATTATGATATATGTACCTGCAAGTTACGCGGAGGCATCCTTGAGAACGTTCAATCATGTGTTGACAGTTTCCGCATTGTCGCCACCTTTAGTGATTCGCTAGAGCTTTTAGCTTTCTATCGGGATTCGGATGCAATCCCTTGTAAAAGCTACATGACAAGTAACTATGCCACGAGACTTTGCATTTGATGCAAAAGGGTTTACCGCATTTGAAGCAACATCTCCTAACTCCACCTTTAGAGAACTGTGTTTCCGACATCAAAGCCGAGCACTTCGGGTTTGGGCAATAAATTCTCTCCTTTACAGGAAACGAGTCCTCTTTGTTCCTTTGTTCCCACATATTTCTTAGTTTAGGTGTCAAAATCTTGGCACAACTTGTAAGAGTTAGCGTAACGTTGCAGCCATAATGAAGACATGTCATCAAACTTCCTTCGAGTAGCCTCACCTCTATGTGTTTTTTAACGCACTCTACGCAGAATTGGTGAGCGCATGAAGCAACAGAAAACATCTGATTAGCTTTGAAATCGTCATCTAAACAGATACGACAATTATACTTCTGAGAACGAAACATAGTACTTATATGATTTGTAATAAAGAGAATAGGATTATGTCTAGAGGTTAATTGTTGTTGGATGCGTTGCACATAACCCTTTATAATATGGGACAGAGTTCCAATTCCATTGCATTTAAGCATCATTAACAATGATACAATGTAGGTATCATTAAATATAAAATTATTAAAATTTGAGTAAAAGGAAAAAAGAGAATGTTTTTTGTTGAAATAATGGGGTATATTGAAATATAAAATTAATAAAATTTGAGTAAAGAGAAGAGATANTGGGTATTTTTGGAGAGAGAGTATCAAATAGTTGATATAGTTGATACTTTTGAAGAGAAAAAGAATGTGTTTTTAATAATTTTATATTTAAATAGAGTATAAAATTAATAAAANTTGAGTAAAAAGATGAAAGAGAAGGTATAAAGTTAANTAAAAAGAANAGAGAGTGTGTTTTTAATAATTTTATATTTAATGATACCCAGATTGTATCATGGATAATGATGGTCTATATCCCCAAAATTCAGGGAAAATATTTGCTTATATATCTAGTTGGGTTTTGTGAATGAAAAAAATAAAAACACTCTGATGTATCAGTAATTAAATTCTGAAGCGAGTTTAAAAATTGAAGCGAGAATTCTAAAAGGAAAATACAATCAAGACTATAAATTAATATTGTTGACATTATGATATTTTACTAATTTATGAAGTTATTGATTTAACAAAATTTAAAACTAATTTTAATAGTATATATTTATACTAAAGTTCATAATCTTCAAAAAAATTTGTGTATGTAAAATAATAAATTAGTTTTCAGTATATATATTTTTTTTGATAAACATCGAGAGTTTCGAGCATTTGACTCATAATCTTCTTGGTACCCAAAGGCAGTTTTGGATATTCCGATTTAAAGAATAACCCTCCGTACCAAATGAAGTTTGAACCCGAGCCACAAGGGAACCAACGCCCTTGTGTTACTAATAGGCTACCACATCTTTGGTCGTTTTCAATATATTTTCATGTTTGTATATTATTTTAAGATTATGAAAAGTAACATAACTAAAGTACCTTTTTTTGTGGGGGGGGGGGGGGTTCAAAAACTAAAGTAACCTAAGAAGAAGTTGTTAAAAATAGTGACAAGTTTTCTTTTTCAATATAAAGAATTTAACGCTAAGAATAACAATTTTCCCTTTTTTAATCTAACAGAGAATTAAAGAAACCACGTACAATATACGTATGAAAGACGAAAGAGTTTTGCATAGATAATAGTAACCTAACTTATTTCTCGATTTGAAAAGATTGTGAAAGCGTGAACGTAGAAGCCTAATTTCTCTTACATGGATCATTGTTGAAACAATGAAGAAGATGTCCAATCTTCCAAGGGACTTGTTGGAAGAGATACTCTCTAGGGTTCCAGTGCAATCTATGAGAACAGTACGATTTACTTGCAAAACGTGGAACACTTTATCCAAAGATGACAGCTTCACAAAGAATCACCTTGCTCAAACAAAAGCAGCAAGAAGAGAAGGGGAGTTTCAGGTGGTGATGATGATGGATTATAAGGTTTATCTAATGAGCTTCAATCTCCATGGAATTCACAACAACGTTGACCCATCTATAAACGGTCAAGCTCAACTTATTAGCCTAGACGATTCAGATCAAGTCGATATATCTAAAGTCTATCACTGCAACGGTTTATTGTTATGCCTTACAAAATATTTCACTAGGCTGGTTGTTTGGAACCCGTATACAGGGCAAACTCAATGGATCGAACCTAGATGCCATCGAGGCCTCGGAAGGCATGTGTATGTTATTGGATACGAGGCGAGAGAATCGTTCCACAGCTACAAAATTTTGAGATGTGTTGGTTATATCATTGAGTACGAAATGTATGACTTAGACTCTAATTCATGGAGGAGTCTTGATGTCCTTTTCAAAAGTCGTACATACTTTCATAAAACTGGCATCTCTGTGAAAGGAAATACTTATTGGTATATTCCTCAAGAAGGAGAGATGGGTGAGTACTTGTTCTGTTTTGATTTTACAACGGAGAGATTTGGACAAAAACTGGTTCTCCCGTTTCAATCTAAGCGTAGACATAAAGTGACTCAATCTAGTGTCAGTGTTACTTCAGCGCTTCGAGAAATTGAGGATAGAGATATGGATTACAAATAAGATTGAACCCAACGCAGTATCGTGGAACAAGTTGTTCGTAGCAGTAGATATGAAACTACCCCCTCGTCATCCAGTGATTCATGGAGATGTGAGTTTCTACATTGACGAGGGAAAGAAAGTCGCAGTGGTTTTTTTATAAAGACTCAAAGGAGTGGACCCGCAACTCAGCTTACATCATTGGAGAGGATGGATACTTCAAAGAAGTCGATCTCAGAGAATCTGATCACAAACATTGTCTTCCAGTTGGGTGCTTTTATGTTCCAAGTTCAGTGAGAATCAAGTAGCTTTCAAATAGGAAAAGCAGTTAGTCCATACCCAAAAATTGTTTCTTGCATATCTACTACTCTTAGATTTGTGTTCTTTTGTGATCTTCTTTGAACAAGATTACTCAATCATTAATTTTGTTTCCCATCTCTTGCATAGTAAGACCCATTTGGGCCATCTTCCGAGTTTAAGCCTATAACAGCAGCTTAAACAAGAGCGTGATGGCTAGCTTTTGTAAATCTTAGAATGATCAAGTACGTAGACCTATGACAAGTCTTTATTGTTTCCTAAGCTTTTACACGGTAAAAGTACAATTAGGGACGAGGCTATCCAGTGTACACATACAAAAATCTTTTGCCTTTTAACTGTCAAGTAGCAACCGCCATTACCATTGGCGCCACTTTATCGGACTCAGAACGAAGTAGACGCTTTGATCAATGATCAATCAAAACTTCTTACTCTGTTCTGCATTTGCACTCATGCCCTGTTTCTCTTGCGTCTGCATCAAAGAAGCAAAACATGGCCAAGATCGGGGAGGTTCTTTCTCATGCCTTTCCAACTGAAAAGAACCAACCTTTCCGGTCCCTAAGGATTCATTGGGGTATTCGAAATTCCGAGGACTGATTTCTATGAGGCTGACACGGTTTCACTCGAGAGTCTACTTTGTCTCAGGTCGAGTACTTCAACAAGACGTCTAGTATATGAATCTGGAACACATCCATGTTTTTCCATTGAGCTGAACATCTCTCTTGCTTCACTCTCTCTTCCAGATTCACTTAGAGCTTTGATGAGAGTGCTGTATGTAAAGTTATCTGGTTTCAAACCAATCTTCAACATCGTTTTAAGCAATTCCTCAGCTTTCTCTATCTTTCTCATCCTGCAAAAACTCTGAATAACCGCGTTGTACGCATAAACGTCTGGACTTAACCCGTTTTCTTTCATCTTCGCAAACAATTTCACTGATTTACTTGTATCTCCGGTGGAACAAGAGGAGCGAATCAGGATATTGTATGTGATCTCGTTTGGCTCAATTCCCCATTCCAACATCTCCTTGAAACAGTCAAATGCATCTTTGATTTCCTTTGCACGGCAAAGACAGTTTATGATCGAACTGAAAGTGATCACGTCTGGCTTGCAACCATGGTCCAGAAGCTTCTTTAGTACTTCGTGAACCTTCTTTACATTGCCCTTTGCGCTGTAACCGCTTAGAAAAGTATTGAAAGTTACGAGACTCGGAGATATACCTCTATCCTGCATATCTGTTAAGAAAATAGCTGCACGCTGTGTCCGTCGAGCTTTGCAGAGACAGTCGATTACCGCATTATAATCATATACACTTAATATAAGCCCCTCAACACTCATTTGTTTCAGATACCGGTCACCTTCAGAGAACCTCTGAGCATTCAACAGAGCTTGAACTACCACAAGATAACCGTTGAATCCTGGCTTAACTCCTCGACTAACAAAACCGTCAAATATCCCACACGTCTCAGCAAGATCATACCCTTTCAAGAGACAATTCATCACAGCATTGAACACTGAGCTTTCAGGCACATAACCTCTCTCACCTACCGTACTCAAGAATAGAGCAGTCTCTTTAGCCATTGAGTTGCTCGATAGACAACATAACACAGTATCATAAGCTACTCTCTGCAAGTTTGAGTTTTTCTCCATAAACCCAACCACAACCTCAAACGCTTTACTTGGAGGCAAACAACGGAAAATCCCGTGAACCAAAGTTCTTATTGTAGCTTCATTAGGATTCAGCTTTCTCGCCCGCATCGTCTCCAACTGCTTCAAAGCCTCCTCGACCCTTCCTGCGATCAAAAACCCGTCAATCAAAATCGTGTACGTGAACACATTGGGCCTATTCCCTTCTCCTTCCATCTGTTTAACCAATCGAATCGCTTCATCAACCACACCTTTCTTGCAAACACCATGGATGAGTATATTATACGTAAACCTATCCGGTTTACAGTCATCACTACGCATCTGCTGAAACTTCAGGTAAGCCAAATCAATCGAATTAGACTTCACCAACGCATCAATCACAGCGTTATACAGCCTAGTGCTAGGTTTCATTCCAAGAAACGATATCTGCGCAAAAACATCATTACAGTACTTAGCTAAACCTAATCTTCCCCAGCTTCCAATCAAAACACACATCAATTCGTCACTAATCCGAAACCCAGAATCCCTAATCTCCTTAAGCAATTCCATAGAAAGCAATAAAGGGCCTTTCCGAAAAAAGGCGTTCCCTAGAACGCTCTTCAGAGACTGATCCTTAGCGTAAATCGGGTCGGTGTTGGAGACCCAGAGGTAGAATCTCAGGGATTGTAATGGGTTTTCTTGATTCTGCAAAACGCTGATGATGAATCGAGGGTTTAAACCGATTCGATGAGCGTTGAATTCCTGCTTCAGGATCAAAAACCAGTCTTTTCTGACTATGATTTGCGAAATGTAACGCTGGTCGAGAGGATTTGTGGGTTTACCTGAGGAAATTAGGGTTTTAAAAGGTTTCGTTGCTGCCGCGGCTGCTCTAGATGCTGAAGAAGCAAAGCCTCTCATGTCACGACTGTACGGAACTCGAGTGACCAGAACGGAGCTCAATGGAAGCGAAACATGGGTTTTTGGTCTAACCTCAAAAAAAGATTGTTTCTTAAACGACGTCGTTTTCTCGTAACTCATAAAGCAAGATTTTGTACCTGAAACAAATAAATACTAAATGTTGTTTTAAGTTTTACAGTACTTAATTATGAAATTTTGTGATGGATAAATAAAACATTTTAAAAGGTTAGATTATAAAAAATTTCGATGTTTTGTGATAGTCATCTAATACTACGATCGTCAAATTTCGATGTAACCATATCGCATCCATATACATAAGCTGTATGAAAATTTCAACACAAGCACAATCTTTTCATGTGTCTTTAACTTTCAATACATGTACATAAAAGCGATGAGAGATTAGTGACGACAATTTACGCAAATGTCGATTAGGCTTTAAATTTATTGTTACAATTTACCCAAACCAAGATCACTCCTTTTCATAATACACTCATGATCGACGAAAATCTAATTTTAGTTTCTTTTTAAACTTGGTAGCAATATTTTTCCTTTTTTTTTGTTTAGTCATCTCAGTTATATATAATGGTCGAGAAGAGAGTCCAAACAAGATATAACAATAAAACCTAAGGAAACAAAGATTTTCAAAGAGATAAATCTTTGTCCTCATGGTACATAAGAACTAATACAAAGATAAGATATTTGATTAAAGAAGAAAGCAAAGAAGTAATCCCAAACTCAAGCCACGAAGCCAATAGCACACCCACACACTAAACCAATGAGCACGAAGAAGCCAAATCTGAGCCAACAAACATCAGAACATAAGATAAACCTTGAGGCACATCCAGACACCTGGAAAACCAAAACGCGGCTCTATGACTAACTTAACCATCAGACAGAGGAGGCGGATAAGAACGCATGGAGATAAAGGCAACAGAGCAAATAACCAATGTCGAGTAGCCTTACCATAGAAAACGGAAAACAGAGGAGACAGCAACGCCAAGACAATTATAACATGACCACCGAGTCTAAACGAGAACACCAAACCAACCTCTGTAACCAACCAAACGCACATACCACAAACAAACGCATGGGACCAACAAAAAGCACATCTCCTCGCCCAAAAGAACCCTAACTCACACAAGCCGTACAAAAGACAATACCACAGCACTTTACAACTAAAGCACAAAATAATCTATGAGATCAAAACCAAAGCAAAAGAGGAATCGAATATATCCGATGAAGAAAAGCAGAAGAAACCCAATGCTCACAACTTCATCAAGCCACCACCAAACAAACCAGAGGACCGCCGAGAGAAAATCTGAGCCACATAAGACTTCAACAAATCACTCGACTCACCTCCCACACCATTGCAAGAAGAACAAAGCGAGACCAAAAGGGAACCGACACGAGATCTCGAACTCAGCCAAACTGGCGAACACAGATCTAACAAGACCAGCTCACGACCAAGCTACAAAACAAAGTCTCCTCAAACAAAGCCAAGCTCAAACCAAATCGAAACCACCACAAACCTTGCAGATCTCATGAGACGAAGCTACATCTAGCCTTTAGAGCCTTCTATTAAGTTAATACAAACCAAAGAAGAAATCTAAAAGCATAAAGTAAGGGTCCGGTACCGACACTATGGAAGCCGCCGGTCACCGGACCAAGATCGGAGAAAAATTCGAAACATGTATTGTAGGCTTCTTAGGATTTTCTCTAAGCCAGAGAATTTTTTTTTGTTCTCTGCTTTTATTTTTCTATCTATGTAAAATTTTTAAGTTTTTTTTAATTGATTTGTAACCAATTAAAAAAAAAAAAACTTATAAAGAGTTTTTGAAAAGCTTATAACCTAACTAATTTGTGTTACATTGAAAGCCCATTGCATTCTAAAGTCCATGATTGTCCAAACTTCATTTAGGATCTCTGTCTTCAAGTCGGATTTTTTCCTTCTTAAAAGTTTTAACCTAACTAATCTGCCCTACATTACACAAATCGTTGTTGAAACTTGAAAGAAATGAAGATGTTGTCCAATCTTCCTAAGGATCTAGTGGAATGGGTGCTCATTAGGCTTTCGATGAAATCTATGAGAGAAGTGCGATATTTGCAAAGAGTGGAACACTTTATCCAAAAGTCGAATCTTTACAAAGAAGCACCTTGCTCAAACAAAAGCAAGCAACATCATCAATGGAGTTTATGGTGGTCATGGTGATGGATCATATATAGTGTTTATTTGATAAGTGTCAATCTCCATGGAATTCACAACAACGTTGATCCATCAATAAACCGTCAAGGTAAACTAATTAGTCTAAGTGACTCACATCGAGTCGATATATCTATAGTCTACCACTGCGACGGTTTATTGTTATGCATCGCAAAAGACTTCCCTAGGTTTGTTCTTTGGAATCCGTATTGGGGCCAAACTCGTTGATTCGAACCAATAACCTATAGCCCTAGAAAGTTCGGATATAGGTATGCTATAGGATACGAGAATAGCAATTCTTGCCGCAGCCACAAAATTTTGAGATATTTTACAATTTCCAGACACCGCATTAGTTATGAACTCTACTACGTCAACCCTAAACCATGTAGGGATATTACTATCTTTTCGGATTGGGTTATAGAGTCATATTCACGTGGCGTGTCTGTCAAGGGAAATTCTAATTGGTTTGCTCGACAATCTCAATCAGAGATCTTAAGTTCTTGATTTGTTTTAATTTTACAACTGAGAGGTTTGGACCGCATCTGCCTCTCCCGCCTCACGCTTATGCTGAAGGTCTTGTTGTGACTTTATCTAGTGTTAGAGATGAGCAACTTGTAGTGTTATTTCATCGACGGGATACATGGCAGATGGGAATATGGATTACGACTAAGATTGAGCCAGAAACAGCGTCGTGGAGAAAGTTGTTCTTAGCGGTGGATATGAGTCCACTCACTGAATTTCAATTCTTGATTACGCATCTTAGTTTCTTTGTTGACGAGGAGAAGAAAATCGTTGTGGTTTTTGATAAAGACAAAGAGATGCATATGCGCACCATGGTTTGTGTCATTGGAGAGGATGTATACTTTAAAAAAGTGGATGTCAGAGAATTTCCAAACATGTTGTCTTACCTAAGTATGTGTTCTTATGTTCCAAGTTCAATGCAAATCAAGCAACATGCACCGCCCAAAAGGAGACAACCACATTTTTAACCTTTTTGTTGTTTTCTTTTGAGATGTTCGTTGAGTCAAATTAGTTTGTTTCTCATCTCTTGTTTGAATTTACACCAAATTTTTCGATTTTTATTCCCATTTTCTTTTTTAGATAGTTAGGCCTGGAGGAATGGAGAGACTAGACTCACTGTACTATTACAAACATAAAAAAAACAGAACTGGAAAAGCGTTCAACATGGTTAGTACAATGAGTCTCCTCGTAATGTATTTGAGCTTAGTAGCCATGGCAAGTATTGGAGATAATGTTCGTGGAACAAAGTCAGTTTAAGCATATAGACAACTGTAATTAACAAAGTCAGTTTAGAGACCTATATCAATACACAAATTGCTCGCCAACTACAAGGATGTACTCCACTCGTCTTACTCCATTCCTGGATTATAATTTTTTAGATTTGCACAAAAATGTAATCTAATTTCTAGCTGTCTATATATAGACTTGGTCACAAATAATAATAAAAGATTTGTTATTACAATATGTATATCATTTACGTATTATACACACCAATGAATTCAAATTTAATAAGTATTTTAGTTTATCGACAAAAAAAAAATATTTTAGTTTCAGAATAATTAAGAAAAAGTCATAACCAAAATATAAATTCAAACTTGAAAAATGTTCTCTTTTATTATCATCATCTCCTTTTGAACAACACAACAATAATGGCAAATCAAGATTCCAATAACAGCAACACTATACCAATCATAGGATTCGAGTTTGTTCGTCCTCAACCGTCGGATCTAACGATCATCGGAGATACCGTGAAGGACACGAACGGAAACAAAGTGTTCAAAGTCAAAACGCCTCTCTTCGGTCTCCACAACAAAAGAATTTTGGTCAATCCTAATGACTCTCCCATTGTCACCATGAAAATGAAGGTTTTATAATTACTACTATTAACTTTACATTTTCATTTTGTTAACCGGTCAATATTTTTTTGAGTTTTTGCTTTGGATTTGAATATATATGAAAAGGTGACTAGTAAGCACGATCGATGGCAAGTGTATAGAGGAAGTGATTTAGATGATAAGATCTTCACGGTTAAAAGATCTTCAACGGTTCAATTAAAAACAAGAGTTGAAGTATTCTTGAAACAAAACCATAGCAAAGAAGCGTCTTGTGATTTCACAATTAAAGGCCGGTTTATGAAACGTGCATGTATAATCTATGTTGGGGATTCCAAGAAAATCATCGCTCAGGTACATGAAGGAGATGAGAGATTAGTGGTTACAATTTACCCTAATGTCGATTCCGCTTTTATTGTTACACTTATCTTTATATTTGACCTCATTAATATGGGTGGGACTGGGACCTGATTATTAATTTGAGAGCAAGAGTTGTGTTTTTATACATTAATTAATGTCTATATATGTAAGTGTACCCGCGACACCTTCATGTGAGAGAAAGAAACTGTGGTAAGAGTATGTAAATCTTTCCGTGTACTAAATAAAGGTTTTTGTATTTAATGTGTGTTTAAACTATGAGTACGAGTCTATTGTAAACAAACATGTTGCATAAATTGTATTGGAATTGGTTAGCAAAAAATAAAAATAAAATGTATTGGAATTCTAAGTGAATATATTCACCATCAATATATAATTGATTTATATATCTACTATGAATAGCCAAATATTCAGGAATTATAGTATAGTAGGAAGTTGAAAGAGACCATACAAAGAAAGTTCTTCAAAACATACAACACATTATTTTTCAAAATTATGTCATTTTAGCATTTTTGCTTTCTATAACCTGCTTCTTGGTACTGGTCCCAACTCTTTGGCCTTAGCCCTCAAAATATGCTTCTGAATTTTTCCAGTAGCAGTCTTCGGTAATGGCCCAAACACCACTGACTTTGGGACCCAATACGCCGGTAGCTTCTCCCGGCAGAATTTCATTATATCCTGAGCCAACTTATTCTGGTCATGCTTCTCGTAACTGCTCTTAAGTGTCACAAAGGCGCACGGGGATTCTTGCCATCGCTCGTCTGGCCTGGCAACAACAGAGGCTTCAAGAACCGCTGGGTGCTGGTACACGACGTTTTCGACTTCCACACTGCTGATATTCTCACCTCCAGAGATTATAATGTCCTTTGACCTGTCCTTGATCTCGATATAGTTGTCTGGATGTTTCACTGCGATATCCCCCGAGTGGAACCACCCACCAGCAAACGTCTCTTTGTTCACTTCCGGGTTCTTTAGATAGCCTTTCATCACCATGTTCCCTCGGAAAACAATCTCTCCAGCGGTTTTTCCGTCGGCAGGAACAGGTTTTCCGGTTTGAGTGTCGATGACATCAAGCTGCTCCATGCCAATGTAGCGGACACCTTGACGGGCATTGAGCTGGGCCTGCTTCTCAGGAGGGAGGGAATCCCACTCGGGCTTCCAAGCACATACAGTGGAAGGACCGTAAGTCTCAGAAAGCCCATAGGTGTGAGTGACTCGAAAGCCCTTCTGGTTCATGGAGAAGAGAACAGAAGGTGGAGGAGCAGCTCCTGCGGTCATGACATGGACCGTATGGGGAAGAGGAAGGATAGTGTCCTCTTGGGGAGCATTGACAATAGTGTTGAGGACCACAGGCGCCGCACAGAAATGAGTAACCTTGTACTTGGCTATACTTGAATACACTTCCTTCGCCGAGACCTAAAACCAAAAATTTAATCAGAGTATGTTAACATCTTCTCTTAAGTGAGAATAAAAACTCTCTCAAGTACTACCTGACGGAGACAGATGCTTGTACCAGAGAGCGCAGCAAGGGACCAAGCGAAACACCAACCGTTGCAATGGAACATCGGGAGAGTCCACAAGTAAACAGAACCTTCTTGCATTCCCCAAATGAGAGGATTGCTCAAAGCCATTAGATACGCGCCTCGATGATGAAGCACAACTCCTTTCGGGCTAGCAGTTGTTCCGGAGGTGTAACCAAGGGCAATGCTCTGCCACTCATCAGCTGGTGGCTGCCACGGATAATTTGGGTCTCCGGTTTCAAGAAATTTCTCGTACTCTATAGCTCCTTTCGATAAAGCATGGTTAAGTGACTCAGGTGGACATGTGTGATCACCAATGACGATTAAGAGCGGGCGGTTGAAGCTACTTCCAGCTTTCTCCTCAATAAGTCTCAGAGATTCCTCTGCCAGAGTAAAGAACTCTTGATCCACCATTATTACAGCGCTCTGCGAATGGCCGAGAAGGAAAGCGATTGTTGGTGCATTGAGACGGATGTTGACAGAATTCAAGACAGCTCCAGACATTGGTACTCCGAAATGAGCTTCGTACATTGCTGGAACGTTCGGCGCGATTATAGCCACCTGAATACAAACAAAACGGCAAAGCGCCATATATTTAATTATGGTCTACTGATTTATCAAGATTGCAAGAACACCAATCAACCAAACCAATATTGTTCAAGTAATATAACAAGATTCATGCGAGAGCAATCTGTGGTTTTATTCCATTATTAATAAGATGATTCCATACTAAATGCAATGTTTCTTCTTTCGGGAGCAGTAATAGAAATACCCTACAATAATGGAAAGTGAGATTATTTGGGTAATCAAAACAAAATGATTCCATGGAAACAAAAAGAAAGATTTCGATGTTTTCGGATTCCAGCCCAAGAGTCAAACCGGATTCTTGAATATTTTCGAAAAAATCGATTTCGAAGAAAGGAGCAACAGCGATTACCGTCGAACCGGGTCCGATTGATCGATCGGCGAGAGCGGAGGCGAGACGGCGACACCGATCATAAGTCTGCCGCCACGTGTACTCCCGAGATCCGTGAATCACCGATTTCCTCGTCGGATGAATCGCCGCAGCCCTATCTAAGAACCAGAGCGGCGTCAGCGCCGTGTAGTTCGCCGGAATCTTAGGAAGGTCATCGATGTCACGCCACGTCGTCGCCGGAGTTGCAGTCATCCCTCTGACTCTCTTCTTCTCTCTCCTATCTGGTTCGTTTATAGAAATCAATCGCAAGTCACATACACGTTGGTGAAGTCAGAGATGGTAGGAAGCTTGCTTAATAAAAGGAGTGTGCGCCAGTTTTGGGTGACGTGGCGTTTTCCTGATTTTTCCGGGTTTTAGTTTTGATATCGAACCGAACAAAATTTGTAAGGTCGTCGATGCGAATTGAAGATCAGATGGGGTGACTGTTGACTGTGATCGTAGCTAGTTCGACTCAAAAATTGGGAAATTGTTATCGTTAACAGAGTTTTCTAATAGTTTTGTTTTTGTTGGTTTAGTAGAACATTGACCTCAATTTTTTTCTTTATCCTTATCCATCTCATTAAAAACTAAGAAATTTACTTACGAAAGGAAGAATGTTATACGTAGTAGACCAAAGAATTAGTATTTCTTAATTTCATTTTTATTGACATTCTATCTTATCCACCTCTAAGTCTGACTAATAAACTCGCTAATGGATGGTAGTTATTTGGATGTTAATTTGCTAGAAGTTACTCTTTCCGTTTCATCAAAAAAAAAAAAACAAAATTGTTTTACGGTTGTCACACTTACTCTTTTTTTTTACTATACCTTTTATTAACACAATAGATAAATTTGTTCTTTGATTAATACATTGAAGTAATATAATTAGTAATGAAAATTCCGAAATCTGCATTGAAATTACAATGATGCTACATTTGTAAAACAAAACAGAATTTTGCAAGGACACAATACGGAGAAAGTACTATTCACAGTGACATTGCATCATTAATTTCTTCGATTAACCCATTACGAAAAAGTTAGTCAAAGGCCAAAAATAAAACGATCCAAATGGTAGAACCCATTTAACAAAAAAATAAATCCGAAAGTCCGTCTATTAATTTCAAGTTTAAACTAATCGTCTAAAAAATTGCTACTTCCTATTTTTTTTTGTAGACGGTTTCTGGCTTTTGTAGAAATTCCAAAAACCAAGATTACATTTTGGCA